GCGCGAGTCCTGCACTGCTCATGAACAGCCGACCCCACGCGGCGCCACAGCGACATGGCGTCGCCATCGTTTTCCACCAGCGACCCCATTGAAGACATCGCCGCCCTCCTTTCTCCTCCCTCCTCTCTCGCTGCCGTCCTCTTCCTCCTTCCCCCGCCGCCCTGCCTACGCCCCTCCCTCCCTCATCCGTCTCCTGCAGCTGCCTCGCCCCATGTGGCTTGCACAGCATAAGTGCAGTTCGTGCATGGTCACCATCCATAACCATTTAACCAAAAGGTTCGGCCCAATTGACGCAGTTGGGTTCGTCGCGACGTAATTCGGCCTCTTCTGGAGGACTCGTCGCCACGGCTGGATTCGTTCCGAAAGCCTTGTTGGAACGCACCCCGAAAGAGGTCCAGCAAGCAAGGGGTATCGGTACCTTTTGGTTCCCCCCAGGTGTGAGGAGAGGGGCGCGGGGAAGGGGGAGGCGATCGTTGCCCGACCTCTTCCAGAAACCGTTTCTTGTCGGGCGTGACACGGCGTTCCTGGGCGAATGCATTGGCGCCTTTTGTTGTCCAGGCCGTAGAAGGCGACCGTGGACTCGCAAAGGGACGTGCCGACAAAAAATCGCACAAACAGCAACAACAATCAGTTTACCCTCATGCGCGATGTTTCTACACGAAGCATGCGACCATCATGATAACCATCCCCATCATGGGGGACTCTTGTTCTATAGCGGGGTCCGTTATTTCCATTCCCAGATTTCCCGCCCAATGAGGTCTTGCAAACACCTCCTCCGAGGAATTTCAACATATCCCGCCTCGAAAACGCATGCCCGCGGCTGCGCCGATGCTAGACCGCCAGTGGAGCCCCAGCCAAGGGTAAAGCACAAGGAAGTATCGAGCGACAGGATTGCTTTGGTGGGGATGGGGGCCATCAGCGGCGAGGCTTGTCGGGACGCTGGTTTTGTCGGGAGCGCTAGTTTTGTCGGGGCGGCGGCTTTCGTCGGCGAGGAGGGGCACCGCCTTGAGTAAAACAGGGAGGAACTCTCGAGCAGTAGCGTTGTTGTTGCTGGGGGCGGCGCCGATGAGAAAAATAGTAGCGCGCCAGTCGAAGGTAAATGCGGGAGGAAGTCTCGAGCGGTAGCGCTGGTTATAATGGGACGGCGGCTTTCGGCGGCGGGCAAGAGCACCGGCCCTGAGTACAAAAGGAGGAAGTCTCGAGCGGGAGCGTTGTTGTTGTTGTTGTTGTTGGTGTTGTTGTTGTTGTTGTTGTTGTTGTTGTTGTTGGTGGTGTTGGTGTTGGTGTTGGTGTTGGTGTTGGTGTTGTTGTTGTTGTTGTTGTTGTTGTTGTTGTTGTTGTTGTTGTTGTTCTTGTTGTTGTTGTTGTTGTTGTTGTTGTTGAACATCATTACTTCTAAAGAATAATTATTGTTGGGACCCCTGGTGCGCGGCCCCCCCGCCGCGCCTAGGCCGCAGCCACATTTTCATGAGGAAGTCTCAGGCAAAACGGGTTGGTCCGGATCCGGTTGTTTTGTTACGGCCCGCTTTCCCTTGCAAAAAATAAGCTAAAGTGGACATTTCTTGTTCTAACATAACCAAACTTCAAGAATCCCTTGCAAAAAATAAGGTAAAGTGGACATTCGCGCGCGCAAGACGAAATCCTTCCAAAACCTTAGTTTTCGTAGCGATTTTAACATAAAAACATCAAAAAACCAATGGTTTTTCAAAAAAAAATGTCAAAATTTCATCCCGCGCGCTCTTGCGGATTCGTAGGAAACCCAACACTTTTTAAACATTTCTGTCAAACGGGCTTTTGCGAGCAACTTTTTCGAACTTCTGCAACAACGGTTGCGCACCTGCCAGGGCCATCATCCCTGTCAAATAATACCATGCGGGACACATTCGTTTTTTCTTCGCGCGCGCACGCCGTCGTCGTCGGCCGCGGGGCCCTGAATAGTAGCCACGGTCGTCCGCATGCCACGAAGTGAAGTGTCCGAACGTCATAGGGCGGGAAGCTGGGTGTGGGTGGTGGCGAAGAGTCGTTTGGAAATTTGGTAGAGCTTGAACCGGCCCCCCCACAAAGTGGGGGTATTGCCCGCCTCCTATGAAAACCCTGGCACTGGTGAGAACGGAGTGTCCCCACGTGCTAGTAATTGTTGTTGTTGTTGGTATTGTTATTATTGTTGTTGTTGTTGTTGTTGTTGTTGTTGTTGTTGTTGTTGTTGTTGTTGTTGTTGTTGTTGTTGTTGTTGTTGTTGTTGTTGTTGTTGTTTGGGGGCTGGTTTTGACGCCCCCCAAACCGCTCGAGCGTGAGCCTCATTTTCAATGAACATGTAGCCGGTTCTTGGGCGAGAGTGCCAAAGCGCCTGGGGGGGTCCAACAATAATAATTGTTTAGTACGTAACATTCGACAACAAACCACAACAACAACAATAACGACAGCAGCAGCAGCAACAACAACAATCATGGTAAGACTGTACGCTCGTATTTGTCCACGTGCCAATCAATACGTACATCCCAAACCCTCAGTACCCGCCCGCATCGTCTTCGATCGTACCCCCTTGGAGGCATATCTTCCTTACCTGCGACGCGCATATAGTACAGTCCCCGATGCAAGGAAGAGAAGACGGGTGGAAATGGGGAGGGAGAAGAATGGAGCAAGAACTTAGCAGGAGGGGGACAAGAAACATAATACAGGAGGTAGAACCAGGCGGGCAGATCGGGCGGGCAGACCCATAGCGGGCAGGTCGGCAAAGCGGGCCCAGGCAAGACAGCGAAAGGGCCACAAAGGGCGTCACCGGGGCCACGAAGGGCATGCACATGGGGCCACGACGGGCGCGAACGAGCGGGGGCCACGAAAGCCATGCGTATATTGGGCCGCGGAGGGCAAGGACGGGGCCACCGAGGGCAGCAACGGGGCCACGAAGGGCAGCGAGGGGGCCACGAAAGGCGACAGCGGGGCCACGAAGGGCATGCATATGGGACCACGACGGGCGCGAACGAGCGGGGGCCACGAAGGGCATGCATATACGGGGCTGGCTACGAAGGGCAGCGAGGGGGCCACGAAGGGCTGCAACGGGGCCACGAAGGGCAGCGAGGGGGCCACGAAGGGCGACAGCATTGCCACGAAAACCAGCGAAGGGGCCACGAAGGGCTGCAACGGGGCCACGAGGGGCAGCGAAGGGGCCACGAAAGGCTGCAACGGGCCACGAAGGGCAGCGAGGGGGCCACGAGGGGTTGCAACGGGGCCACGAAGGGCAGCGAGGGGGCCACGAACGGTTGCAACGGGGCCACGAAGGGCAGGGAGGGGGCCACGAAGGGCAGCGAGGGGGCCACGAAGGGCGACAGCGGGGCCACGAAGGGCAGCGAGGGGGCCGCGAAGGACTGCAACGGGGCCACGAAGGGCAGCGAAGGGGCCACGAAGGGCTGCAACGGAGCCACGATGGGCAGCGAGGGGACCGCGAAGGGTTGCAACGGGGCCACGAAGGGTAGCGAGGGGGCCACGAACGGTTGCAGCGGGGCCACGAAGGGCAGGGAGGGGGCCACGAAGGGCAGCGAGGGGGCCACGAAGGGCAGCGAGATCCCGATTCCCAGATAATATGCGAGGGAGTCCTAAGCGTGAGCGCGACTCCTGGGTGCCTGAGTGTCGGCAGCGCGGCGCTTGAGTAAATTGCGGGAAATGCCAACGCGAGGGCGCTATTTTTGAGTAAATTGCAGGCAAGTCTCCAGCGAGAGCGCGACTCCAGTGCGCCGAGAAAGCGATTCCTGAATAAATTGTAAGGACGTCCCAAGCGAGAGCGCGATTCCTGAATCAAATGCGAGGACGTCTCAGACGGGAGCCGCTGTTGTTGTAAACCGGGGGCCCACAACACAGTTTGACCATCAAGATTTTCCCTGATAAAAAACCGGGTGCGAGCCCCAGGAGGGGCACTTCAATCGAACAAATAGCATGTGCACCGGGCGGGGGGGATCAACAATAATTATCCTTCAGAAATGAGAGTTCAACAACAACAACAACAATCACAACCACAACCACAACCACAACCACAACCACAACGGCAACAACAACAACAGCAATAACAACAATGACAATGACAATAACAACAACAACCATTAGTTTAAGGCTGTTCGCTCCTATCTGCTCACGTGCCAATCAATACGTACATCCCCAACCCTCGGTACCCGCCCTCGTCGTCTTCGGTCGTACCCCCTTGGGGTATATCTTTCTTACCTGCCACGCGCAGTTAGTGAAGCCCCTAAAACAAGGGAAGAGAGGACGGGTGGAAGGGGAGGGAGAAGAATGGAGCACGAGAGAAATTAGCAAGAGGGGGCAAGGAGCAGAAAACCAGTGGTAGAACCAGACGGGCAGATCGGGCGGGCAGACCCATAGCGGGCAGGTCGGGAAGGCGGGCCCAGGCTACCAGGTCGAGCTTGTTGGTTGCTGAAGCGCGGGTCCTGCATGAATCGCGAGGAAGTCTCGAGCGCTAGCGCGATTCTTAATTAAATCGTGAGAAAAACCATGTGAGAGCGTGATTCCTGAACGCCGATGCCGAGGGCGCATCGTCTGAATCAACTGCGAGGAAATCTCACGCGAGAGCGCGCTGCGTACATGAATTGGGAGGAAGTCCCGCGCGAGAGCGCGATTTGGGAATAACTTGTGAGGAAGTATCAGGCGGGAACCGCTGTTGTTGCAAATCGGTGGCCAGCGGCCCAGTTTGAGCCGATTGACTTCCCCTGGTGAAAAAACAGGGTGCGAGCCCCAGGAAGGCACTTCAATGGAAAAAACACCATGGCCACCAGAGGGGGGATCAACAACAATTATTTTTCAGCTGTGAGAGCCCAACAACAACAAAAACAAAAACCGTTCTCCTGGCATCGCCCGGACGTGTGCATTTTTCTCTCGGCGAGGACCATCGAGGAGCATCCTTGATCATTTGGCGAAAAAAAACCGCACGAAACCGAACAAAAACACAGAGAATGGACGTCCGAGCGATGGCCAGGAAGATCTAGTTCCCCCAGGTACGCCGACACCGTGCTCCGCGCCGTGGGGGGCCTCCTGGTCGCGCCGGGGCTGCTGCAGCAGGAGGGCCGCGCGGCCAACGCGACGCGGGAGGCGTGTGGCCTGAGCGAGGTCGCCGTGCCGAAGGGCCGGTTCCTGGCAGGAGTAAGGAGGGGAAAAACACACAGACACAATCAATCGTCGATTCCCCAGAAAATATGGGAAGATATGGGGAAAAGACAGAAACCCCGAAAATATGGGAAAATACGGCGAATCCGGTTATGTGTGTGTATGTATTTGTGTGTCCCAGGGCCCCTTCAAGGAGGCGTCTCCAGCTGCATCGCGTGGAAGGCGTTCTCGCGCTGGTGCGGCCGCAGCGGCGCGCGCTGCCAACGCATGGACGCGGGCGCCCCGGATGGCGGCGGCGACTGGGCCGAGCCGCTGGCCGAGGCCCTCCTCGGATACCGGCGGCGCGGCGGCGGGGTGGAGCCGTGCAGCATGGTCTGGCTGTCCGGTTACTTCCAGGACCTCCGCTATTTCGGTGCACATCTGGCCTGGTTGCGCGGCCTCTTCTGGCACGCGCCGTCGGCCCAGCGCGCGGAGGGAATGCTTGCGAGCGTGGCCCCTCCGGGCCGCGGCGTGGCCGCGGCGATCCATTATCGTTTCGGCGACCTCTGGCACTGGTTTCCCGGAGATGTGCTGTACGACGGGTACCAGGGATGGGCGAGCTCCCTGGCAAAAGAACGGGTGAACCGCGAGCTGACGTGCCTGGTGTTTTCGGATGCGCCCAGCACTGCCAGGAGGAGCATCGAGGTTCTTGACGGCTGCAGCGAGGTCAAGATGATGATGGACGTGGGTGACGTGCTCAGCTTTTATCCAGTTGCGCTGCCGTGCGAATCCGCCACCGCGGAGGTGCTCGCCGAATGATGATATACAAGATTGTTTCGTGAGTCGGCAGCACTTCCTGAACCCCAGGCCTCTCGCTCGCTCGCTCACTCGAGCACGCGGGCGAGCGAGCGAGCAAGCGAGAGGACCGAGCCGCTCCCTCCCTCGCTCGCTCGCTCGCTCGCCGGAGCGAGCGAGCGAGCACCCTGCATGGAATGCCCTGGTCGCCCGAACCGACCCGCCCGGCTCGCTCGCTCGAGCAAGCGAGCGAGTGCGAGGACCGACAGCCCTCCTTCCCTCGCTCGCTCGCTCGCTGGAGCGAGCGGGGCGAGACAGCGAGCAGGCCAGGGAGCCAGAGGACCGACGCCTGCCTTCCCTCGCTCGCTGGCTCGCTTGCCCGAGCGAGCGAGCGAGCACCGTGCTTCTGATGTCCCGCCTGCCCGAACCGACCCGCCCGGCTTGCTCGCTCGCTCGCTCGAGCGAGCGAGCGAGCGAGAGGACCGAGACCCCCCCTCTCCCTCGTTCTCTCACTGGCCCTCCCCCCCATGCTCGCTCGCCCCCCCCCCCAAGCTCGTTCGCTCGCTCGCCTCCCCCCCCCGCCCCTGATCGCTCACCCTCTCGCTCGCTTCGCTCGCGTTCGCCTCCACCCGCCCCCATGCTCGCGCGCCCGAGCGCGCGAGCGAGAGCCCCCGGCACGCTTGACCTCAAAGAGCGCGACGCCGCAAGGCACATCGACGTAAAAGCGAGACAGGGGGAGGGGCGAGGGGAAGCGGAGGGAGGGGAGGGGGGGGAGGGGGGGAGGGGGGAGGGAGGAGAGGGACCGAGCGGAGGAGTGGGGGAGGGAGGGGAGGGACGGGGGGAGGGAGGGGACGGACGGGGGGAGGGGGGGAGGGGAGGGAGAGGAGGGAGGGGAGGGTGTGAAACAGGCACTGTGTAATTTGTGTGTTTGGTCGGCGGCCGCAAGGCGGTCCGACGGCAGTCGAGCAGCAGCGGGGCGCGCCGGGGCACAGAATAGGCACGGAAGAGTCGCGCCCAGGTCGCGGGTCGGCCAGAGGGGCCGAGAGGGAGGGGAGCCACCGTCAGGCCGGCAAGGACTTTTCGTGCGCGCGCCGAGGAGCCAGCACCGCACCACACTGCGCAAGCACGGCGCAGCAACAAAACTGGAGCGGCCGCCTCCCAGGAGTTTCTCGGGCGCTTGTGCTGCTCCAGGGCACCGCGGTGCCCAGGAGGGGGGCGCTCCTCCAGGGCACCGCGGGCGGCGGAGGGCCAGCCCCCTCACGTCGCCGCCGTCGATCGAGGACCTCGGCTCGCAGATCGCGGTCTTTCGCCGCCGTCGCTGCCGATCGGTTTCGGGGATCGCCGCCGCCGTCGATCGGGGCTCGAGGGCGCCGCGGCTTCTCGGGCGTTTCCCGCACGTCTGGGGCCTCCGGGAGGCACCTCGTCGCCGCGGCGGAATTCCCCTCGAGATCCTGGCCCGAGAGCACCCCAGGACAGTGCCTCGGGGGCTCGGGGCTTCAACCCCCCAGCCCCACACCTCCAACGGTAGAGGAAACATCACGACGGAACACACGACGCACGAACACCACGCAGCGGCACCACGCAGAAGCGCGACGCTCGGGAGTGGCAGGGGCCCACGTTTGGGCCCACGGCACCGCCACCCCAAAAGAAACATCACCGTCACCGCCATTACAACGACACCGCGCCGCTATGAGGAACCATCGAGGATCTGCGCAAATACCACGCGGTGCAAGCCTCCGCGACGCTATTAGGAACCATCGAGGATATGCACAACGCGGGCCAAAACAACAAACACGCCACGCGAACCCCAGCTCGCGACGGCGGCAACGGCGACGGTGCGGATGAGGTTGGTGGTGGCGACGATGGCGACGAATCGTCGTTGTCATCGCCATCGTCAGCCTCCTCTTTACCATCGTCGGAACCGTCGTCGTTCGGGGGGCGGGCTGCGTTTTCTTAGCCATTTTGATGTTTCGGCGTTCAGTTTCAGCCCAAAGAAGTTCGTCCGCCTTGTACTGCGTAAACGCACTGCGGCGCGCAAGACTCAGGATTCGTATGACGTTTCAGCTTGGAGATTCAGCGTGAGAGAGGTTGTCCACCTGGTGGAAAACAAACACGATGCAAAACCACGACATTGCGTTTGACGCGTCAGCTGTGAATATGATATCACGTCGGCATCACCACTTGAAAGTATGATGCTTGAGCGCACCGCCTTGGTTAGCATAATGCTTCAACGTGTTGATTTTGCGTGGTATTTGCGCGTTGTATTTCTGCGCGATGCCTGCGGCTTGAGTGCTGTTTCTCGTCGTCGCCGTCTTCTTCCCGATCCCCGCCGTCGCCGTCGATGCGCTGCGAAAACACGGCGTGAAACTCTACGCTTGACGCGCTTTCGCGTTGAGAATAGATTGTGGTTTGCACATTGCGTGATTTTGCTTAGCATCTTTTTGCTGGGTGAATTTCCTATCATGCTCATGCCACCCACTTTTACTGCGTTTGGCGTACACAGGTGTTCCACCTGTTTGGTTTGAGGTTGCTATAATTTCACCATCCAGCGAACATACCGCCACCGCGCTTGAGTGTGCGCCCGAGGGAGAGTGTGGGCAGTGGGTGCGCCGAAGGCAGATGCCAGCTCTTCTTCCGAACGCTGGTGGTGGCTGCAACTGTGTGGCAGTACTCTGGGGACGCCAGTTCTTTCTTCGAGCACCTAGTACCACCATGTCATCTTCCTTCTGGCGACCTTCCAGAGTCAAAACTGTCTCTGCGAAGCGAGCTGCAGGCGCCATCCTACCTGCGTCGGACTCGCCGAGGCATGTGAAATGGCATGCTTGACGCTCACGGCTGAACGCTGGTTCTCGAGGTAGATGCCATTGAGCGCGGAAGTGGAATCATGGCTTTTGGGACGTTTGGTCGGTGGGGGTCACACATCCACAGCGACTCGATATGATCATGAACGTGTGTTGGGGGGCACGATGCGCCAGGGGGGGCCCTGGCTACCGCTTCGCAGGCGGGGAACGAACGAAAAGGCAGCGGCCAAACACACACACACACACACACACAAACACACACACACACACAAACACACACACACAAACACACACACACACACACACACACACACACACACACACACGCACACCAAGCGCTGCAAGGGTGGTGGCGGACATGATGGCCGCGGCGCCCGTCAGCATCGTCGCGGAGTCCAGCTTCTCGTACTGGGCCGCCCTCCTCGCGGCGGGCAAGTCGCTCGTCGTGGTCCCGGAGCTCGGCGGGGCCGCGTGGCTGGCCCAGCCCGCGGGGTGGGCAGCGCTGCCAGCGTACCGCACGCGCTCCTGCGAGAAGCGGGGCGCCGAGGTCTGGTGCGGGGGCCGCGTCGTGAGCGCCGCCGCGGGCGCGGAGCGGCCCTGAGCTCCTGCAGCCGCGCAGAAACGAGGGGATCGTGAGGGAAAGTGCAGGGGAACAAAAAGTGGCATAAACATAAAAACTCGGAGCTCCGCGCGGATTTCTCGGATCGGCGCTGACCCCGCGCCAGGGGTGGCGCCGGAGGCGCCGCCGGGGGGCCCCAGCGCCGATCCGAGAAATCCGCGCGGACCTCTGAGTTTTTTATGTTTATGTCACTTCTTGTTCCCCTAAAGTGGTCCTGAGGCTTTTGCTGCCAAGGGCCGACACGAGGGCGCCAAGTTATTTTCGCGGCTCGCGGCTCTCGCGGTGCCTCCTCCTCGTCTGCCTCGTCCTCCTCTTTTGCCCTTGGGGGGGGGGGCGGCGCGGGAGTGCGGAGTCGTTCGCGCTTCGCGCCGCGCCGAGCGCGAACAGAGCTGCCCTGCTCTCCCGTTGTCGACTTCCCAGGGCCCGTCCAGGGCCCTTGGCATCGCTCGGACGTGTGAATTTCTCCTTCGGCGAGGACCATCGAGGAGCATCCTTGAGCATTTGGCGAAAAAACCACGCACGATACCTAAAAGAACACAGGGAATGGACGTCCGAGCGATGGCCAGGGCCCGGGGCCGTCAGAAGACGACTCATCCTCAAAAGCTGGTCCTGGGGGAGCCCCGAGGGCCTGGACCCGTCGCCCTCCGGACTCGGGCGCGCGCCCGCGTGGATTTTGGGGACCCGAGGGCTTGGCGGGTGGGCGCCAGGGGTTCGTCTCGACCTCTTCCGACTCGGCTCGGTTCGATGTCGATCGATTCCGATAGTACGATTCGGTTTCGGATTCCGATTTGGCTGTCGGTTTCTCGGTGGGGACCTCGCGAGCCTGCCGGTGTCCGCCGATGTTTAACTTCTTCCGGCCAAGTTAGCGATCTCTGCCTTTCCGATTAATGTTGACCGCCAGTCCGACTTGTCGATTTGATGATGGTTTCCCTTGCCAGATCCACGGACGTGGGGAGGTGCCCCCAGAGAGATGGCGCCAGGGCCGCTCGATGTCGCGCCGGAGCGCGCCGATTCTGCACGGGAGCGGGAGCCGTCGCTGATCAGCGTGGCGCTAATCCATGTCTGCTCGGCGGCGAGATCCCAACCCTCCACTACTACTGCCACGATTAGAGTTACTCTCACGACTACTACAACTACTACTACGACTACTACCTCACCGATCAGCGATCCGCGCAACTCGATGGGCGGCAGGGGCAGGGTTCGCGTCGAACACGTAACGAAATTGGATCCCTACCCCCTGGCATCGCTCGGACGTGTGCATTTTTTCTTGGCGAGAGCCATTGAGGACGAGCCTGGACCATCGAGCAAAAAAAAAAACGCACGAAACCGAAAAATGCACGGGAAATGGACGTCCGAGCGATGGCGAGACCCCCACCAGGCCCCAGCAGCAGGGCTCGCATGGCGCACCCGCCCCCAACCCAGCACATTCCTCACACGTTTCGTGGCCCCGTAGGGGGGTCCCCTTCTTCGTCCCATGTGCTTTGCAGTGCTCACGCCTGCATATGGTAGGGTATTTTATCTTGCATGTTCGACGGTTCTTGTTCAGCAGCATCTACGCATGGACATCAAACAGTGACTAAGCAGATTGTCCACGGCGGCCTGGACAACTCCAATATTTACGCGTGACCATGGAAACGAAATTCTTGGGAGCGCACGCAAATACCAAGGTAGCGTGAGCAAAAGGAACGCGCGCGGTGGCATCTCGACGTGGACCAACGCGGGTATGGAGGGGCAGGATGGCAAGGGGTAGAGGCATAAGACACATAAATGAGCGTGCCTATCACGAGGAGGGTGGACAGCCACGAACCCAAGTGGAATACCAAACAATTGCATGAGCATTAGTATTCGCAGGCCGGCGCATGCTTGTCAGTGAAAGTCATCCGCGCGACGGACCGCGAATGCGAATTCCAAATATAGTTGCCTCTGTCTCTCGACAAAGTTGCTTGATCGAGATCTCTTGAATTGCTGGTTGCTGCGGAAGCTGGGGGATGCATTCCATACCGTAATGTGGAATATGTGTTCCATACAACTTACATCTTGGTCCTACCAACAAGCACTCGTCGTGCTGGTATACCAGGAACAAAATAGTGATGGAAGGGGGTTCTTCGGGCAGACCGAAACCGAAATTGACAACACATAGCACCCTTGAATCGAGCGCCAAGCATTTGGGAATAGAAGTATGTCGCAGACTGAGACCACAATCGTTACATCACTTCTGCGCATGGCGCGACAACGAAACAGGGACGTCATGGCCTGCATGATTTTGTGATGTTACGGTACCGTCTCCCAACGAATGGTTTCACACGATTTGGCACGATGAATTGGGGAGGCCCGTTATTCGAAGATGCCGAGATTGAGAAGAATTACGCATACCAGAAAGAAAGTATCCGAGACCGGATTGGGGGCGTTGTCTTGTTTGGGATCAGAGGTTTTTGGTAGATGGGTGCATAAGCAATAAAATTCATACGAACCCTTGCGCGGGAATGGGCCCATTTGCAAGCCCGTCGCGATAATGTCCGAACGTCGGTTGTCGTTCCTATGAACAGGAAGAAATCGATGTGTCTCAGAGCATGCGTTCAACGGCTTGGTGTCGATTTCCAGCTGCCCGCAGTTTTTGACGCGAAACCGTAAATAATCCAGAATGCCGTCCGTGCTTTCTGCGACCATGTCTCCTAGATACGAATGTTCAAATCATTCTTGCCAAACGATTATTTACACGGGTTTGTATTTTTCGTGCGCTTGTGATCTGCGGCTCCTTCACACTACAAATGGAGAGACAAAAACGGGGATGCACGATACGACAATGGGACAGGAGAGCAAGGCGAACCCAGGCCATAGGAGATTTGTTTGCAAATTCTAGTTCCAAACGAAATTTCCCCAACCATCCTGTGGTGTTGGGTCCTCGTTTTGAAGAGACAGCGCCCCGCATCCCACCTCCTTCCTCCTTCCTTCTCCTCTCCTCCTCCTCCTCCTCCCTCCTCCCCCATCCTTGCCTTTGCTCTCCGCATGCCTCAGCTCACCCCCTCCTCCCATCATCATCATCATCATCATCATCATCATCATCATCATCATCGTCAGCATCATCATCATCATCATCATCATCATCATCATCATCGTCATCGTCGTCGTCGTCGTCGTCAGCAGCAGCAGCATCAGCATCAGCATCAGCATCAGCATCAGCAGCATCATCATCATCAGCATCATCAGCATCATCATGGTCAGCATCATCATCAACAGCATCATCATCACCATCATCATCATCATCATCACCATCACCATCACCATCATCGTCATCATCGGTATCGCCATGGCTGATTCGTTTCGTGGCCCCATAGGGAGCTCCACCGAAGGCCCCAGTGCAGGGAGCTCCACCGAAGGCCCCAGTGGGGGGGGCCGCATGCGGCTCCCACGCCCAGCACACCGTTTTGTGGCCCCCCACGCCCAGCACAGCGTTTTGTGGCCCCATAGAAGCTCCACCGAAGGCCCCGGTGGGGGGGCTGCATGCGTCCCCCACGCTCAGGGCAGCGTTTCGTGGCTCCATATGTAGCTCCACCGAAGGCCCCAATTGGGGGTGCCCGCATGCGTCCCCCACGCCCAGCACAGCGTTTTGTGGCCCCATAGGGAGCTCCACCGAAGGTTCCAGGTCTACCGTCCGCATGCGTCCCCCCTACCACACACAGTACAGCGTTTCATGGCCCTCCTCCCCCTCCTCCCTGCGTTTCACCCACTCAATACAGCGTTTTGTGGCCATATAGAGAGCTCCACCGAAGGTTCCAGGTCTACCGTCCGCATGCGTCCCCCCAGGTTCCAGGTCTACCGTCCGCATGCGTCCCCCCCACCCAGTACAGCGCTTCGTGGCCCCATAGGGAGCTCCACCGAAGGTTCCACGTCTACCGTCCGCATACGTCCCCCCCACCCAGTACAGCGTTTCGTGGCCCTCCTCCCCCTCCTCCCTGCGTTTCACCCACCCAATACAGCGCTTCGTGACCCCATAGGGAGCTCCACCGAACGTCCCAGTGGCACCGCCCCCATGCGCCGGCCACCGCCCAGCACAGCCCTTGCTCCTTGCGTTTGCACCCACCCCGTACAGCTCTTCGTGGCCCCAAAGGGAGCTCCACCGAAGGTCCCAGTGGCACCGCCCGCATGCGTGAGCCACCACCCAGCACAGCCCTTGCTCCTTGCGTTTCACCCACCCAGTACAGCGCTTCGTGGCCCCACAGGGGGCTCTACCGAAGGTCCCAGTGGCACCGCCCGCATGCGTGAGCCACCACCCAGCACAGCCCTTGCTCCTTGCGTTTCACCCACCCAGTGCAGCGTTCCGTGGCCCCATAGGGAGCTAGCTCCACCGAAGGTCTCAGTGGCACCGCCCGATTGCGTCAGCCACCACCCAGCACAGCCCTTGCTCCCTGCGTTTCGCCCACCCAGTACAGCGCTTCGTGGCCCCATAGGGAGCCCCACCGAAGGTCTCAGTGGCACCGCCCGATTGCGTCAGCCACCACCCAGCACAGCCCTTGCTCCCTGCGCTTCGCCCACCCAGTACAGCGCTTTGTGGCCCCATAGGGAGCACCGAAGAAGATATTCAGAATTGCGGCACTCACAACTGCATATGGTTGGGTCTTTCGCCAGGCTGATTTTCAATGTTGACGTCGATTTGACGTTCGCCTTGTGTCGTACATTTGAGTTGTTCCAGTGCGTGATGGCAAACGGAATAATGCAAGCATGGGGTTATGGCGACCAAGTTGA